GGATTATTGAAGGCTTGGACCATTTTCTATTTTTGTATAAATCAATCCAGTTGCATATTGTTTACATCTATTGGAGTCAATGAAAATCCATCCAATATTCCACGTGTTTCTTCTTCAACCATACAAGATAATGGACATACCAAGAAGAAGATAAGCTCCACCTCCTCCTCTAGAAGTAGACAATAATGAAGAGTTTGAAGTGGAAGAAGTCTTAGATTCAAGGCGGCGCCGAAATAAATTAGAATATCTTATCCATTGGCGTGGATATGATATTAGTGAATGCACATGGTAGCCAGTAAAGAATCTTATAAATGCAGCAAAGGTGATGGAGGCTTTTCATTGACGACACCCATCAAAATCAAGATAAAAACCTTTTTTATAAAAGAAACAAGATCTAGGCAAGTTATCATAGTACTTTCAATCCTTGTTTGTAGTTTCTTTGTAGTTGTGACGCTCAAGAGATGGAGAATCAAAAACCAACAGATTTAACTCAAGAGCCTTTGTTTGTTGATCTACCGGACAAGATATTACGATTGTCACAACCTTCAAGACGATGCAATCGAGATGAAGAACTTTAAGAATGACATGTTTTTCCTCGAATAGATGACAAAATATAATGCGTTTGATATCACAACCTTAGAAGGGACTCTCGATGTTTGGTGATTTGATTAGAGGTAGGAACAACTCCTGATGGTGTTCCAAATGGTTTATTCGAAGGAAGTTATAAAGGCCTCAATAATGATCAAATAATTAAGTAGTCTTCTCGCCCTGGTATGAGACACTACTGATGGTTGAGAGGCCCTATCAATCATCTTTGATGAGAACATAGATTAGAATATGTGGTGAATACAATTCGTCGCATCATAGATTTTTTCAACATATGATGATTGCTCATTGTGGAACTTATCCCTAGAAGGGGAAGTAATATCATGGACATATGCATGTAAGCCAATAATTACATGTATAAATAGGTAGAAGTAGGTAAAAGTAGATAAAAGTAAGTTAATTCTATAATATTTGATATGGAAGCTTCCTAAAAGCTTCATAGACATTGCTTTGACTTTATAGGTATCTTTAATTGACTTTTTGGGATTAGAAACGTAATCAACAAGTTAGCCATGTCCCACACATGTTGTTAGCTTGAAGACCAAGTTAACTATGTAGCCCACACGTAGAAAAACTTGCCTTATAAGTCAAGATATGTGTCCTACAAAGTCAACACATATTGGAGGTCCTATAGAATGTCGCCACGTAGTCCCTGATTAAATAGTATATATAGAGACAAGAATGAAGCCTTCTTCACTCTTGTCAACTCTTTTCTTGCTTCCAGTCTAGTTTCAAGGATCTCTAGTTTTCTTGGCTTTTGGCAATAGCCATTCTTGTTTCTTTTTTAATATATATATATATATATATATATATATATATATATATATATATATATATATATCAAGTTATTTCTATTTTGTCATCTTTCTTTGAGAGAAGTCTTACTTGTTATTTATCTTTATCATATTCTTGTCCTTGACATGATGCCAACTACTCTAGATCCTCTTTATTTTCTTCTACTCTTTTACGATGGAGAAGAATTTTTTGTAATCCTTTCCGTGATCAAAAACAGCTGAGCCATTGCTAAGATGCTTTGAAATCATTAGCAAAAAATCCAAGCTTTGCTATAATTTACCTTGCTTTGATAATTGCCAATGATGGTGGAATTGGTAAATTGATGCAACATATACTATCAATCCAAATATATAGCTTATCTTCTACCTGCAAAACCGACTAACAGATGCTTGATACTTTTGCGTTTTGGCTTCCTCAGATATCATAGCACATCTACTTTGAATTGTTTCTCGGTTCTTTTAGGTCTTGCGGATGGCATCTTTACTAACATAATATTCTTTGGCCAATGCTCACTTACTCTAAGGATTTGGCTTGCTCAATTTAGGGATGATCTTTGACCTCTGAAACTTGTTCAAATACTTCCTTTTGTCTTTGGTGGGTATAGGAGATGTTATAGAGAATGATTGAACTAAGTATGTATCTACCAGTTAAATATACACAAATTGTCGTGGATCAAGTTGCATACTTAACCAAGAGAGGACTATATAATATTCAATATCTATGGATTTTATTATTGATTTTTCACCATCAACTACATTTGATGCTATTTACATTGTTGTAGATTGACTTACAAAGATGGTACATTTTATCCCATGTAAAAAAGTAATTTTTGGAAAAGAATCAAAAGTCTTTCTTGATAATATATATTGACATCATAGCCTACTTGATTATATCAATTTTGATCAAAGACCTCAATTTATATTAAAGTTTTAGAAATCTTTTTTTAAAATATTCAAGATGGATATCAAACTTTTATTTGCCTTCCACCCTCAAATAGATGGTCAATCAGAATAAGTCAATCAAGTTTCGGAATAGTATTTGCAATTTACCATCAACTATCAACAAGATGATTGGACCTTGTATTTATCTTTAGAAAATTTTGCTTATAATAATATTCTTCATGTTTCAATTCAACAAACATCATTTTACTCTAATTATGGTTACCATCTGAAGATTGATTTATTAGGTACATTAAAAGATGAAAATCTAATAATTAAAGATTTTACAAAATAATTGTCACAATTCCAAACAACTTTGAAGTTCCATTTACAAGCAACTCAAGTTTCTTATAAAGCATTTTTAAATAAATTTAGAAAAAAATTCTATTTCTTAAGTTAGAGATAAAATATGGCTATGTGATAAGTTAAACTACCAAAGACTAGGACGACTTTGTATTCAAAAGTAAATCAATCCAGTGACTTATTTGTTCGAACTACCCACATCTCTTATATTTCTTTATTAAAGGCTTATTCAAAACCAACTATTCCAAAAAAAATACAATCATCACCACCTTGCATTGAAATAGATAATCATGTGGAATATGAAGTAGAAAAAATCTTTGATTCTCAATAAAGAAGAGGCAAGTTGAAATGTTTTATTGATTAGCATAGCTACAATATCAATGAACATATGTGAGAACCAACAAAAAATCTAATTAATGCACTGCAAAAGGTACATGAATTTCATTGTTATTATCTTCAAAAATCTAAACTTATTTTAAGATGACTTCTCTATGAAGCTACTGCTATGATGTTGTAAATATCAAAGAAAGAAAATATGAAATTCATGCTCCTTATAGAACTTGAAGTTAAAAAAAGAGGTTTTGTTACAGACATTCAACAAGAAGATTTTATGAATATTTTTATGATATTCTATTAGATTCTAAAAGGTTCCAAAAGATTTTTAAAATATTTCTAAAAGTTTCTTAGAATATTCTAACAAGTTCTAAAAATATTTAAGAAGATTAAAGAAATTATTCAAGAAGCTTCTTGAAGTTGCTTCATCTTCAAGCAACATGGAAAGTTCTTGAGAAGCTTGCTAATACCTAATATATATTGGAATCAAGGTTGAGGGGATCTTTAGTTTCAACAATACATTTTTTGAAGCTTTAGCTCACTTTTCTTGGTATTGATCTTGTATTCATCTAATTTAATTTAGTTCTTGTTAACTTTCTTATTGAAACTCTTCCATTCAATTTCTTGTTTTGTCTCATGTATAATGTATTTGTAATACTAAAATCTTCTACTATAAAGAAATGTATATCTTCTCTAATATGATAATAATCAATATTCAAATCACAATACAAAGCACTAGATTTAGTAAAGACTGACCATTAGTTTGTATAACCATTTATAAAGAAAATAAAAATATTTCATTTACCACCAAGAATTCAATTCTAAATTAGGTACTATAAAAAAAATGAAAATAATATTGTAACACATAGTCAAATGAAGAGTGCAAACAAATCCAAAACTTGTGGACATGCTCTTCTTAATTGGTAGCCTAAACCAAAGAAAAATAGATGATAAACTTAAACTATGATATAACCTATAAAAAAATAAATGAATAATCAATACCAAAATAACTAAAAACTGTTATAACCATATATGTTATTATAACATGATGGGCACATGAAATAAACAAGCCACTATTGCTCCTAGAAATCAAACATACGTTGGTCACAATGCAAATGTGAAACCTTTATCATGTACAGCCACCTGCATGCCATATGCTTTATTCATGAAATGTTGAAACGTTTATATAAAAAGGTGATTCTACCCTCAGGCTCATATAAACCCTGTAGGAATGTTTTCAGCTGTCCGCCCAGACCAAGTCGGTCTGCTGGACCCACAGCCCGCCATGCCACAAAAAACCTGTGAATTTCAACTTTTCTGATCCAAGTGTGGGGCAGCAATTCCATCTTCCTTGATGTCAAGAAACTGCTTTTCAAGCTTGGCTGGGGTCGGAAAAATAGTTTTTTTAACACCCAACAGATCCAGCCGTGATGGCAGCCAACTTTTTCTGAAGCTTCGTCACCAGCAGAGACGTTCACAATGGTGTTTGATTTTGATCTGGAAAGGTGACTTGAAGACAACACTCCAATGAAGGTCGAAACGGTCAAAACCCTGATATCAGCTGCCGTCAGGAATTCGTCACATTACAACAGATGGGTGTATCAATCTACCAACCAGGACCACTCCAGTGACAACGTGCGAAAATTCAGGCGATCACCATCTGAGAGCAACATCCAAGAGCTTTGTTGCTGAAGCATTGGCTGCAAAAGTTCCGTATTTGTGGGACTTGAAAGCTATGGAACTGAGTTGACAGCTAATCATGAGCCGCTCTATAATCATACAACCTGTACAAAGGTCAATCTCTTGGTCCTGCTTGAGGTTAACTACATGTTGAAGCTGAGCATTATCGATGACTACAGGAGGACAGTTTCTCCATTCGGTTCCTGACGTTGAAGCCTAGTATAGAAGCAGTTGGTACTTGTGGAGACAACTATCTGTCGTCCACACTTACAGGGAATGTTATTTTGAAGCCTACGTTGTTATATCTCACAGTTTTCAAGTATGGACAGCAAATATTACACGTCATACTCTTCAACCCTTTGTCAAGGCTGTATCATCAAAAACAGAATAGAAAAATTAAACGTGTCTATTCTTCGGAAACCTCAGAAATAGAGTATTCGCAATACTCACCTTACGGGATTCAATGAGTTCAATGACTCAATACTAACATAAATGCAACACACACTAGCCGTTTTTGAAATTAGAAAACTATTTGCTAGTAAAATAATCTTCGAATCAACCCTTCATGTGAAATGCTTGATGGGTGACCAGTTGCACAATACCTAGTAAATGAGGCTAGGTAATGAATGTGACCTAGTTCTAAGTCGCTTAGGGGTAGCTTTCGATCACCTCAATCAACTCAGGCAAAATCATATCTGATGTCATAATTTGACGTGCGGGATTAATTCTACATGTTAAACCGACCCCTTATCCTTATGGTCGCCAAAAATACGTTTGCGGAAGTCTTCTACCATCATCGGAAGCCCCTTTCTCAAAGAAATCTTTGGCTCCCAACCCAGCAACTCCTTGGCCTTGGAGATATCAGGCTTGCGCTTGTGTGGGTCATCGGATGTGTTCTCTTTGTATTCAATCGTCGCGGTAGGGTCGATCACATCCTTAACCACCTGTAACACAAATGCGATCTTAACTTTAGACAACTGCTAATGTTCTTCAACAACCTCCACTAAGAAACCATCTTCTGAATCTAGAACTAACTCCATAAAAATGACAACATTTCTTCTAGAACCTGTGCAGAATAATAGATAATGTGCCGAAGAACTGAAAAACACAAAAAACACAAAAAATAAATAAATAAATAAATAAATAAAACGTTCCACAACAAGAGACTCACTAATCATGGTCAGAAATTACAATGCACGGCGGCAACTGCAAAGGCCATAAAAATACTCACCTGTGCGAGTTCAAGCATGGTGAATTCGCCAGGATTTCCCAAATTGAAAGGCCCAACATGTTCACCTTCCATCAACTTCATGAGGCCCTCCACCTACAACACCACGCGTGACGTTTGAATCAGGATTCGAGATAGCAAAATCCAACAAGATCAGATGGAAATTAAAGTGATTGCAAGCAATATGCTCAGGTAAAATGAGAATACAATTAAAGCTGCAAAACCGTAATAGCAGTTACGAGAAGTGCAAATGTAATCACGACCTTATAACTAAATCCCCATTTACAGCATGCACTTCAACAACTTGGACGACCAACTTGGGAGACTATTAACGACAGGATACGTCGATTGCCCGTAAAGACGAGAGAAATTAATCCCTCGTGTCCGAGATATTCAAGCGAGTGACTTGAAACATTTTCAGATACCACCTCCATTGGCAGCAGAGAAGCGAGGGATCACTGATTAACTTTTACATGCCCTTCACCTACCAGATCTGAAACAAACTGGAAACTTCTTGTTTGCTTTCCGTCACCATATACAGTCATAGGCTCTTTTCGTAGGGCCTGAAAATTAAGGAAAAAGTGGACTTGTCAGAACTTTAACAGTTAAGTTACCAGAACAGGATTTTTGTCAAATAGACAATCATAACAGTTTCTCATTATTCCGGAGTTATTGAGTATTCAAAATGGAAGCATCAATTTCAAACTGATGGGCATGTGTGGAACTCACCTGAGCAACGAAGTTACTAACAACCCTGCCATCATCGATGCACATCCTTGGTCCATAAGTGTTAAAAATACGAGCAATGCGAACCTGCACCCATTGCAAATTTCAGCCATACGCTAAAACCAATGCCATAGTGCTTTCCTAATCTTAGACTCGGCATTCTCCAAAATTAAAAAAAAAAAACCAAAAACAAAAACAAAACAAAACAAAACAAATTAAAACAAAAAAATAAAATAAAATAAAATAAATCACCTGCACATCTGCGCCTCTGTGGTAATCCATAGCCAGAGTCTCAGCAGTTCGTTTTCCTTCATCGTAACAACTCCGAACACCTGCAAACGAACAGCACGATGCTGAGCCACCATTCCAACCTCCACCGCTACAAAGAAAAACACGACTCTGTACAATATCAACTGGCAATCTTCAACCTTCAAACCAGTACCTCAAGCGTAGTGTCATCTACAAGCAGAACAGTGCATACACAAAAAAATAAAAAAATAATCTACTTGTAACCGTTCTATCCTAGGTTTGTTGTGAATTTAAGAACCCTTATTGCAGCAACAGATCACAATACGGCGTCTAAATCCACTCGTCAGAAAGGATTAGTGACTTGTACCGATTGGGTTTACATTTCCCCAATACGTCTCTTTCTGAGGATGTTCCAAAGGATCACCATAAACCTCACTAGTACTGGTCAGCAAGAACCGTGCTCCGATGCGCTTCGCCAATCCAAGCATGTTCAAGGTTCCCACCACGTTGGTCTTGTGGAGGCAGGTCAAGGAGGCTGCACGACCACGGATACATTCTCTCTGCTAGAAGGACTATGCAAAATAACACTACATAAACTCAATAATTCAGAATAAATTCAAGATCCCGAACAAAAAAGGATATGATAGTCTTGATTGGATTGAATTTGTAATGCACGGGCGACGCCGGACATGCCAGATGGTAAATCTGGTCCACCTCCAGCAACAGGGGTTCGACCACATCATGCCGGATCAGCTCGAACCGCGGATTCCCGAAGTGATGCTGCACGTTCTCTTTCCTCCCCGTGAAAAAATTATCTACTACTATGACACTGTCGCCACGCTCGATCAATCTATCGACCAAGTGACTACCGACAAACCCTGCCCCGCCAGTCACCACAATTCGCAGTGGCTTCCGTGGCAAACCCAGAGGGATTTTCCCTCCCAGACTCACAATCGCAGAGCGGTGGGACTTATAGGGTGCTGTCTCAAATGTTCTTGTCGTCTGGTAAGATTCGTCAAAATTGTACGCCTGCACAGCTGTGTACGAGGACACATCCATCGTCCTCTGCCCGGACCCAAACTCAGGCTGTAAGAATAGGAAGAACGCGGTGGTGATGGCCACACCTACCAACACAAACACAAACCGCTGCTCACGAAGCACATACTCCACTGAGTTCGACATCGACCATTGCTTTTGCGGCTTTGGAGTGTATTTTTCATTCTCCGAAGTCACGTCCACCCGGCGGTGGTTCAAGGTCGCGTTCATGATGCCCACCACTCTACGTCTCCAACAATGTTCTATCGAGATCCAACACCCGAAATTTCTCTCTCAAATCGCAGCAGACACTTTGCGCATTCAAAATCGCCCAAAAAACCGAAAACAGCCCCAGCTATGTAGCCAGATCTGTCGTAATTACTCTTGAAAAAACTCCAGAGCACACTCGACGCAATCAGGGCTGGGAAAAGCCTGAGAAGGGACTGGAACCTCCGCGCAGCAACTCACGTCGCTGCAGAGCTCTCAGACAGGACCTGAGAGAAGCTGGAGCGATGAGTGAGTGAGTGACTCCCTGAAAGTTCACAGGTCCAGCAACGCCATAGCCACGATTGAAATAGGTGCGAGCACTGGCAAGGTCGCGTAACTCAAAGCCAACGAAAGCCCGATTCCGGAAACTCTTCCAGCGGCATTAATTATAAGGCCAGCATATGTACGTGGCTCCTACATCTGTCCGCCAATAATGAGTGTCCCAGGAGTATTAATAATGTTTTTAATGTAATGCCAGAGATGGAACCCGATCACTGGGGTGGCATGCAACAGTACCGCATGTTGATTGATCGAATGTATAATTGATTCTGTGACAAAGGTGCAGTTATTTTCCTGTGGCATGCATACAATTCAGCGATCTCACACAACCCTGTATTGCATGATTACATTCCTTTCAGGGAGGTGAAAACGATGTTATTGCTGCAGTTCAATCATCGCCCCATCGAATTAAGTCAATCACCGTATGGCACCTAATCGAGATGTCAATAGGTGCTGGAGTTGGGAATATCACATGTATTTTCTGTGTATGATTAGCGAAATTCTTGTTCAATGAGCTCTGATTAGGAGGAGCGGGATACCATATTCGTTGGAAATTAGACAAAAGTTCTTCCTCGACTGTAGAAGAGACCAGGTATGCAGTGGTAAACAGTGGATGCAGTAAACAGCCTGTATCACTCAATCATGCCCAGGCTCCTCCACACTAACTGGACTTTAATATCTCGTAAAAGCCTCTAAAATATGCTTCGATGTAGGAAAGAACGGAGTCCCCATCGCACACAGCGAGTTGCGAGGTTCTTCTTCGTAGTCGTGTCTTCGTCAACCCACAGAAGAAATAGTGACGCAATAAGACAAAAAAATTCAGCACAGATAGTCAACATGGGAGACTGCTTCTTCCCAGCAAGTGAGTTTATAATAGCTCCATGATATAAAGCTACATTCCCAGCTGGCTGAAACAACAAAAAGTCTGGTCAGGTGCCAGATCCTAGATGTTCAAAGTAGGGAGCACAGGAATATCTGCTTAAGTCAACGTACATTCATGGGTCCATTTTGTGTTGCTCGCAAAAGTTAGAAATTTTCTTTCGAGGCCAATCATTATGTATCCACTTTTTACAGTATTCGGTATCATTATACTGTACATAATACTAAAGCCTCATGACCGTAGTTGGGATCAGTAAGCTCTACCCCACACGGAAACACATTGAATCTTACGGTCGAATCAGAACCGCGTAAGGTGTCGTGCAGCAGAGTCTGCAACAAATGCAACATCCGAGAATTGAGAAATGCCTACTTCATTCATGAACGTTAACTGAAAACCAAAACCCGACAATGATTCGTAGTCGCAAAATCCGTTAAGAACAGGCTCTGTAAAAAGCCCAATTACATCAGACAAACAGGTTGATCAGCTTTAGAACAACTAGTAGATAAGGCTGGTTAGCAAAAACCCATTACAATTCTACACGACAATTTTAATTTGTTCAAAGAACCTCCTAGTCTAATGAGTGACCATAGCCTCAATCATCTATAAAGCATTGCAATAAGGGGGTGGTAGCATCGTCAGCTTCCCACTATTTCGCCCGGACTTGGAATGCTGACAGGAAACCCACTCGACCCCCACTGGAGAGTAATCTGGAGTCCTTTACAGCTTGATAACCCCTCAGACATCCTTATGGTCGCCAAAAATGCGTTTGCGGAAGTCTTCAACCATTAGAGGAAGCCCTTTCTCTAAGGAAATCTTTGGCTCCCATCCCAACAGCTCCTTTGCCTTGGAAATATCAGGCTTGCGCTTGTGTGGGTCGTCAGACGTGTTTTCCTTGTACTCGATTGTTGCTGTAGGATCTATCACGTCCTTGACCACCTGCATCACAACCACGTCATGGCACTCTGAGTTTACAGACTGATAACGCAACTACCCACTCTCGCAGAATTCATTCAGACGAGCTGAGCTGCCGAGCCAGTTACTTTAGGAAAAAAACAAACCACTATTTGCAAACAAAGTTGGTTAACATCTCCAGCCTACTTATGAAAGCTAACTGGAGAAGAGAACACCGCTCAAAAGTTCATGATCCAAGACCACGGATTTCACATTGAGCTAATGTCAACCAAATTTTACAAACACGGTTTCTGCAACAGACGAAGCAGAGCCTCAGAGATCATCAAGTTCATCAACCAAATAAAGAGCATGGTGAAAGTTGGTGCGTGGAACACTCACCTGAGCAAGTTCTAGAATGGTGAACTCGCCAGGGTTTCCTAAATTAAAAGGTCCAACATGCTCGCCTTCCATCAACCTCATGAGGCCCTCAACCTGCGGGACCACGTCACATCGTTAGTTTCCGACTTTTGTAAAGAAAACCGAAACCGGAGAGCGAAAATGAATGGAGAGCACCGAGTAACATAGGCATGCTCATCAAGAAATCAAAGAATGAATCGAGGAAGGAATCAGAAACCGACAAGCTTTATTTCACGTACCAGATCAGAGACGAACTGGAAACTCCTTGTTTGTTTTCCGTCACCATACACAGTCATAGGTTCTTTCCTCAGGGTCTGGACAAAATACGCAACGAGTTTGTCAATACTATCCATCACGGTCAACATGGATACTTCCTCATTCGTATATCAGTTGTCAGTTACAAGTGCTAAGTTGAACATACAAACGGATATTGTTTCAAGGAGGTGAGTGCAAGAATTATAGATCAATCTCACCTGAGCAACAAAGTTACTGACAACCCTACCATCATCAATGCACATTCTTGGTCCATAAGTGTTGAAAATGCGGGCGATCCGAACCTGCATGCCTCCGAACATCAGGAGCATTACGACTAAAGTATAATGCAATCAAGTACGAAAAACTCAATTGACCCATCACATATTATTACAACTTCCAATAAAAAATGCGTAAGACTAAATGGAAGCCAAACTCTACACAATTACTGAAGCCAAGTCACTTCACCTGCACATCTGCACCTCTATGGTAATCCATAGCCAAAGTCTCAGCAGTGCGCTTTCCTTCATCGTAACAACTCCGAACACCTGCGTACCAACCGCAGCGTGCGCAGTCATTATTCTAAGTTTCCAGCCTCGCATCATGTCCATTCACGACATCAACCCATATCATACCGTTGCAGGATGTTTATTACCAACTTTCACCAGCATCAACCCACAAAAAAGCGCATGCTATGCGAAAAGCTCTTCAGCTAGTAATCGAAATTCAATCCGATCATCTACAATGGTAAATAAATATGGTCACAGGTGCGCTGGCGCTGTCTAAAAAAATACGTACAACAGACCGATCACATAGAAATTCTATCTCCCACTCGCACCAGAGAATTCTTTCTACCTAAATCTTGATTTCAGTGGTAGTGGTGTTGACGCGCATCGGAATTCACAATTAATGGAATGATGGGAAGAGACAATAATTAATACTTTCGAAACCCTCAGAGAGAACATAATCCTAAAAATTGTAGAGTACTGAAGAGCTCTTGAAAAGGAAGAAGACGGATAGACATTCAGCAGTAGCACTGAATGTTGGCAGGTGTTGATTTCAAACAAGTTTGGCTACAATTCTCCAGTAAATCACACGCTTCAACACCTAAAACCACTTATCATCCAGGTTTCGCCACACTTACCGATAGGGTTCACGTTTCCCCAATACGTCTCTTTCTGAGGGTGCTCCAAAGGATCGCCGTAAACCTCACTTGTGCTGGTCAGCAAGAATCGTGCTCCAATCCGCTTCGCCAATCCCAACATGTTCAATGTTCCCACCACATTGGTCTTGTGATGGTAAGTTAAGGAGGGTTCACAAAGATTATCCTTCTTGAAGTGAATGAAACGACTTCTACGCGTGAGAGCCGCGCAGAAGACCAGACGTTGTGGAAGGACGACAGCAGTAACCTTAGGTACTTTACTGTATGAAACGACCCAGGGCATTGCCACAATCAGCCTTGACAAAGTAGGCGCATTACTTATCTTTAAGCACAAAATCACATCTAATGTTAATAGCGCAGTTTCGAACAACATTACGTCCGTGCATCAAAGGATTTCTAACAGACAAGCTATGAAACTCAAAGCAAATTCAACAGGAGTGAGAAAATAAGATCAAACTTTACCCCAATCGCTGCACATGCACTCTTCCCAACCAAACACCAATCCACAAACTTGGAATCAAAAAAGGGGCCCGTTCGAGAGCACGCAAGCACCAGTGCCACAACCAACAACATGATCTGACGAACCCGCCCTCCTGATGTCATTAACGGTAAACCCCAACATTCTTTGAAAGGATATGATTGTCTTGATTGGATTGAATTTGTAATGCACGGGCGACGCCGGACATGCCAGATGGTAAATCTGGTCCACCTCCAGCAAAAGGGGTTCGACCACATCATGCCGGATTAACTCAAACCGCGGATTCCCAAAGTGATGCTGCACGTTCTCTTTCCTCCCCGTGAAAAAATTATCCACCACTATAACACTGTCCCCGCGCTCGATTAACCTGTCCACCAAGTGACTACCCACAAACCCTGCTCCGCCAGTCACTACAATCCGCAGCGGCTTCCGTGGCAAACCCAGCGGAATCTTTCCTGCTCCACCAGTAATGACCGCGGCGTGTTGCTTGTACGGGGAGTTCCCATTCCCAGAGAAACGCGTCTCTCCCAACGAGTCTTTCACATTAAATCCCCCATCTACACCCCCAATAGCACCCGAATTCACATACGTCCTCATAAACCGAAACTCGGGCTGCAAAAACAAAAAGAACAGAGTGGTAATAGCCACCCCAATCAGCACAAACACGAACCGCTGTTCACGAAGCACATACTCCGCGGACCGCGCAAGGGACCATTGCTTCTGCGGCTTGGGCGTGTACTTCTCATCACCCGGCGACACTTCCACGCGGCGGTGATTCAAGTTTGGGCTCATCATGGCAAGAATGAACCAACGATGCACTTCCAGGTCCTGGCTGAAACCTCCCGGTTCCTAGTGCTCGATCTGCTCGCTGTGGAAGAGGCGCGGGGACTGCCTCAGACAGGAGAGCTGAATCCCGACGTCTGCCAACTTCTGTCGCCGGTGCTCGTGCGACGAGCACTCACAGGCAAAACCCCAGAGCCTGCGGTCGGCCGAGCAAACGGAGCGGGTATCGAGAGGGTATCAGGTCATCACCCATAATAAATTTATATTTATTATCTTAATTTAGTTATTTAAAGATTATTCTTTTGAATATTTAAATTTTATTTTTGTTATAATATCTCAATTCTTTTTTGAAGACAACGATAGTAAAAAATCAAAATCAACACTTTAATCATCAAAATGATTGTTTATCTTTGATCATATATCAATTGATAATAATAAAAAAATTGGCATTGTATTATATATATCAATGTTGGCATTAGTAATTAGGAAGATAAGAAGAGTTAGGTGTAAGTAAAAGTATGTAAATTTGATAACATCTTGTAGACAAGCTTCTTAGAAGCTTTGAAGACATAATGTCATGAATATACATATTTATTTTAATAGTAACCTAAATAATATGAATAAGTAGAAGTAGGTAAAAGTAGATTAATTTAATAATATCTTTTGGAAAAGCTTCCATAAAGCTTCATAGATGCGGTTTAATCTTTAAATGTGCCTATAAGTAATCGATAGGTTGAATACTTGGCCAATAAGTTAGCCACATGTTACATGTGTTGATGGCTTGTAGTACAAGTAAATGATATGGTGCACATACAAGAAACTTGCCTTACAAATTAAGATATGTATCTTATAAATTGGACACATGTTGAAATTCCTTTAAAATATTGCCATGTAACTCCTAGGTAGATAATATATATAGAGATAAGAGTGAAGCCTTCTTCACTATTGCCAATTCTTTTCTTGCTTCTAATTTAGTTTTAAGGATTTTTAGTTTTTCTTGTCTTTTGGCAATAGCCATTCTAATTTTTTTTTGAATTTACATGCTTTTTTACTTCCATTTTGCTATCTTTTTTGAAAAAAAATCATTTGTTTATTTGCCTTCATTGAGTTCTTGTCCTTAACACATAAACTTAACTTTATAAGTATTTATAGGTGATTGGTTGTCACAAATATAATTAATACTTGTAATTATCTAAATAAGAGGAATTAGATAGAATTAAATAAAAATATGTCAATTATATAATATCTTATGGAAAATCTTTTTATAATATTTTATATATATTTTTAGGTGATTTATAGATTAAAAACTTACCTAATAAGTTGGCCATCTGTTATACATTTTAGTAATGTAGCATATATATAGAATCTTATTTTATAAATTAAATATATGTCAAAAGGTCTTATTGAATGTTTCCATATACCTCTTTGTTACATAATATATATATGGATGTAAGAGTGAAGCCTTCTTCTTTCTTATCAATGTCTTTCTTATTCCTAGTCTTATTTTAAGAATCTCTAATATTTTTTTCTTTAAAAATATCAATTATAGTTTTGATATTGTATTATCTTTGAAAAAAAAATCTATTCTTTTCTAATAATATAAGGATGTATTGTCTCTTTGGTTGTGTGTGATTCATGTTCTTAATAGTTTGTGAAGAATGTTAATTCAATATTCTTATTTTGTTCTAGATGTAAGTAAATTATTTTATTATTTTATTTTATTTTTAAAATTATAAACTATTTATCTTTAAATTAATATTTTTTAATATTTATTTTTATTTTAAAATTGAATAAACTATAATTTTTTGTAAAAATTTTAATTTGATATTAGAGATTGCAAATTATTTGATTACACAATTTTGTCTTCAAAGTCCCATTCTGTTTAATTTTGTTCAGTTTTGTTCTTTCCCAGTTTTTCCTACCTTATAATGAGGTTTTATGTTACTCTGGATTAGAAGGGTTTTGGATACTTGAGATAGACTAGTCATGTTTCATTGATATCAGAGCAAGTTTTAGACTGTTCTTTGGTAGTGTATCAATAGTCATTATTTAGTCCAAAGTTAGTTATTGTAGTCACTGTAGATATCGTATTAAGGCTACTATGAGCTATTCTTAAAAATTCAACTAAGAAGTAAGAAGGCATTATAATAATAGAGTCCAATGGAGAAATTACAACATGTATGATATAGTAGAGCAATCCCAGATGGAGGCTCAAATATAGCACTTCTTAGGCCAGATAGCTACTTTGTAAGGGCAAATAGAAGCTTTAAGGACAAAACGTGCTTTTCATGCTCTTCCTCATTTTTGGAGAATATCAGAATATCATCCAAATAGATGACAACAAAATCGTCAAGGTACTCTCGGAAAATGTCATTCATCATATGTTGAAAGACCGCTGGAGCATTGGTAAGACCAAAGGGCATGACATTATACTCAAAATGGCCATATCTTGTACGGAACGTTGTCTTCCACTCATCTCCTTCCTTGATTCGTACGAGGTTGTAAGCTCCCCTTAGATCAATTTTTGTAAAAATCCTTGCACGTCCAAGTTGTTCTAAGAGACCAGAAATCAAGGGTAACGGGTAACAATTCTTCTTTGTTATCTTGTTGAGGCCTCGATAGTCCACGCACATCCGGAATGAGCCATCTTTCTTCTTCACAAATAAGATGGGTGCTCCAGCTGACGATTTTGAATGACGGATGAAGTTCTTGGATAGATTTTCATCGATGTACTTCCGTAACTCTGCCAACTCCGTCTACGATAGATTGTAGATTGGGCCAAAAGGCGATTGTGATCCTTCTTGCAAGTCTATGGCACAATCATATGGTCAGTGTTCCGGTAGCATGTCGGCATTTTTCTTTTGAAACACGTCTTTAAAATCCTTATATTGCTCTGGTATACTTTTGTCGAGATCTTCTCTCCGGTAGTTGGAGCCGCATAAATGACCAACGGTGTGCCTTCCTTAGATGATCTTATAAACGATCTTGTTCCAATAAATAAAGATTTTTTTATTCAGGGTTTTCTACTAGGCTTGCTCTTGGGTGGTTTTGTGGGAAAGGTCATCTTCTGTAACTTCCAATCTATGGATGGGTTATGCTTTTTCAACTAGGAAAGACCAAGAATAAGAGGATTTGATGGGGTTCTAATAATATTGAAAATAATATGACTACTATGGCCCTTAAACGTCACTTCTATAGGTTCTGATTCATGGGTGACACTACCAGACAATAAAGGTCGTCCATCTATGACCTCAACGTGAACAGGTTTGGATTTTTGTACTAAAGGGATCTTATGATGCTTTATAAATTCTTCGTCTAAGAAACAAGCAGATGCTCTTGAATCTAATAATGCTAAGGTTCTCAGTTTCTGAGGGCCAATAAGCAAAGGGATTGTAAAACAAAGGGCAGGTTGAGCGGAAAGAAAGGAACCTGGTTGTTATTGCAATATTTCACTGTCCAGCCACACGGTTCCTATTGTGGCTGGGCATCCTTGTTTTTCTGAATAAACGTGCCCCTAGTCTTGACAATACATCGATTTTGCTTCTTGGGGCAGTTTCCAACTTTGTGGCCTTCTTCACCGCAATACAAGCATAGACCTTCCTCCATACGGTGCTTTTTTTTCTTCTAGAGTAAAGGATTTGACACGTACCACATCAATTTGCATGTCTTCTACCTCTTAATGTAAATTCACGCTACTTGCCGATATAGTTGGGGCATAGCAAATCGTATATTGTCTTGAACGTTGGTCTTGGCGGCGTTGAAATAGGCACTTATCACACTTCACATCTTGACTAATAACTTTGTTGAGCGTTTGTGGATAAGGAAGAGTTAACAGCAAATCCTTTACATCGTCTCTTAAATCCCAATAGAATTGACTCATCAACGCTTCTTCGTCCCAATTGATGTCACATGTTAATTGCCTGAAGTCCGATGCATAGATTGATGTAGAGCGCATCCCTTGTCATAGTGATCGGATCTTTGTTGTAGCCCATCGAACCTTGTTGTGTTCACCAAATACTTCCGAAAACGCCTCCAAGAAGGTTTCAAAGTTGTTTAGTATGGACGATCGTTTCTCAAACAAAGGAGCAAACCATGATAGAGCTTGTCTTGTAAGTAAGGTTCCAACAAGCCCAACGCGTGACTCCTCCATTGGATAGCATTCGGGCTGTAAAATTGTTATCAATCTGATTTGGATGATGAATCCTCGAAACTTGGAACGCGTACCATCGAACTTGTCTGGAAGGCTAACTCGGGGCTCTTTATGTTGTAGAACTAGTGGTGCTTGTCAAACCTGAGGCAAAGTTGCTTCTCCAAGTGCAAAAGTTTGAGGCTGGTGCAACTTAGATTGTGCCATCCCAGATGCTCCATCATTATGAAGCCTTGCCACGACTTCTTCAATCTCTGCAGTTCTTTGCGACAACGTAGCGAGGGCATTCATGATAGCATCCAACTTGGACTCCGAACTTTCCGTCATACAAATGTCTTGGCGTCCGACCATTCTAAGAGAAGGACAGAAATGACTCTACAAGAAGACAATATTGGTTTAGAGGAGGGTACTCCACAACCTCTAAAATGCCTTAAGAGCTTCAAGAAAAGGGATTATCCACTCTCTCCAAGAAGAAATAAGGCTCCAATATTATAACAAAAGAAGTATTAGTTTAGAGGAGGGTAATCCGCAACCTCTAAAATGCTAGTAGACTTTTAAGCAGAGGGGTAATCTACACTCTAACAAAGAAGAAACTAGCTTTGATATCTAAGGTGAGTACAGTCTTGACAAACTGTCACGGACACAAAATTACAGACTCGAGATCTAACAAGAAGTTCAGGAAGAACTGACAAGAACTAGATTAATCAGATGAGAACAACACCAGAGAGGTGAGCTAGAGCTCCAAGAGATGTGTTGTCGAGACTGAAGAACTCTTCAGCCTCGTTTCCAATATATACTTCTATTTAGGAAGTTTCTCAAGCAACTTCTACTAATTAGGAAGCTTCTAAAAGGTTCCAGAGACTTGCTTCTAGAAGGTTCTAGAAACTTATCTCTAGAAGGTTCTAAGGACTATGTCTCTAATATCTTCTACCAACTAAGAAGCTTCTAGAAGGTTCCAGAGACTTGCTTCTAGAAGGTTCTAAAAACTTGTCTCTAGAAGATTCTAAGGATTATGTC